TTTAAAAATGGAAATAACTTAAACATCCAACAAAGGGGATTTGTTAGTAAATTATTGTACCTCCAAATGACAAAATCATACATGCAACCATTAAAAATGATTTTTTAAATGTTGAATGACATAGAAAGATTTCCAATATTAAGTGGGAATAAAGTAGACAACTAAATAATATGTATAGTATGAGGCCATTTTTGTAAAATTAGGTATGCAGAGAAGAATAGTGTTAGATATATACACACCAAAGTGGGAATTATATTGAACCTATATGATAACTAAAAGCCATTAATAATAAGCAAATAAACTGAATTTATAGAAAGGAATTTACTGTAAGGAAAAATGTTAAAAAAAAACCAAACAATTAACCAACATTTATCTAGTGCTATATGCCAGACCTATTATAAGTGCTTTTTTTTTTTAAACATCTTTATTGGAGTATAATTGCTTTACAATGGTGTGTTAGTTTCTGCTTTATAACGAAGTGAATCAGCTATACATATACATATATCCCCATATCTCTTCCCTCTTGTGTCTCCCTCCCTCCCACCCTCCCTATCCCACCCCTCCAGGTGGTCACAAAGCACTGAGCTGATCTCCCTGTGCTATGCGGCTGCTTCCCACTAGCTATCTACCTTACGTTTGGTAGTATATATATGTCCATGCCACCCTCTCACTTTGTCCCAGCTTACCCTTCCCCCTCCCCATATCCTCAAGTCCATTCTCTAGTAGGTCTGTGTCTTTATTCCCATCCTGCCCCTAGGTTCTTCATGACCAATTTTTTTTTTTTAGATTCCGTATATATGTGTTAGCATACGGTATTTGTTTTTCTCTTTCTGACTTACTTCACTCTGTATGACAGACTCTAGGTCCATCCACCTCACTACAAATAACTCTTAAGTGCTTTTACACATTTTATCTTGTCTAAACTTTGAAATGGTCTTAGACACTACTAATTTTATTTTACAGATGAGGAAACAGGCAGAAAGAAGTTAAAAATCTTCCCCAAGTTTGCACAGCTAACAAGTTGTAGATACTGGCTTGAACTTGGGAGGTCTGATCCCTGAGTCTGCGTTGTTAACCACAATTCTGGCCTTCCTCCTACTTCCCTCTGCTAGCATAGAGTGTAGAAAGATCATGTGAACATTATCTTGAATTTCGCCAATCTAGCTCCATTTTTCATCTTTTTCCATCCTGCCCTGTGAAGTGGAAGGATTATGGAATAGACTATATTAACAGGCTCCTATGTCCTCCAGCTACTGATTGAGTTTTGTCAGTGGGGAGCACTTTGGAGAAGAAGGGAGAGAGACAGTGATGGTAGAGGGTTTATTTCTCTGGTTCTCTCCCTGCTGAGAGGCTAAGTGCTATGTCAGTCTACTGAAGGGTACTGTTCCTTTCAAGGGGCCTTCTATGAGACTCTTTCCTTCCATTTTCCAGTAGCCATCTCATCTCTTTGGGCCTAGTGATGGCTAACTGCTGTGCTGTCTTGTGATTCCCCTACCCAACAACTGTTAAATAGTCCCTTTGTAAATCAGCTCTCTCAATCATCCCATTTTAAGTGTCCTAGTTAGAATCCAAACTGATACAAGTCGTGATACCTGTTTTCAAAAAGCTGACATTGAGCGTTTTGGGTATACACCACATGAGCAGGAAAGTTGAAGCTAGTATAAGAATAGATCCTCTGTAGGAGTAACGTTGATGGTTACAAACTAAGATATTTTAAGTTGCATGTTCATGGCCACCTGCACATTATTCTATTCTCCATTCCTTATTTTCCTCTTTTAGACAGATTAGCTGTAGAGATATCTGTAAAGCATGCTGCAGGGTGATCAAAATGCTCTCTGAAGTTTTGCAATCTTGCTGTCATGAGTAATTATATCAAAGTAATTCTCACAGCAGTTTTCAGAGCAATTTACAGACCTTGTGACACACATGGTCATCGAATCATAGAGCATTTTATAGACAGCTCTTCATCTGGAACAGATTTATGAGATCATTAGATAGGCCCTCTATAGAAACTGAGAAACAGAAAATAGAAGCTGAGACAGACTTGAGCCAAAACATTTGTATAGGGCTTCCCTGGTGGTGCAGTGGTTGAGAGGCCGCCTGCCGATGCAGGGGACACTGGTTCGTGCCCAGGTCTGGGGAGATCCCACATGCTGCGGAGCGGCTGGGCCCGTGAGCCATGGCCGCTGAGCCTGAGTGTCCGGAGCCTGTGCTCCGCAACAGGCGAGGCCACAACAGTGAGAGGCCCGCATCAGGCAAAAACAAAAAAAACAAAACCAAACAAACAAACAAAAAAAACCACTTGTATAGACTCCTTATCTTCCACTCAAGATAACATAAAGCATAATATAATAACACAGTTCTTTCCCTGCTTTCTCAGTCCTCTAATATTGAGGCCCTTCTCGTAAACTGTTGAACTATTTCACAAGTCTGAGCAGAACAGACATTTGAGGACTTGCAGAAAAGGTGTGTCTATAGTCAAGCATCACAAGTCATGACCGTGTCACTCTTCCACTCCCTTGAGGCAGCTGCCTTCTTCTTTTGTACCCAACATGATTGATGGTGATAACATATAAATGTTTCATAAAAACAAAAAATAAATATATATTTTTCTAAATTTGAGGCAAGGAGAGAGGCTTTAATTTTCTGCTCTGACAGCTCAGTTCTGACTCACACAGGAAGGGAAAGGGTTGGAGGAGGAGGTGGAGAATAAGGAGAAATTCTAGAAAGTTGCCTACACAAAAAAGGAGCAAGCCAGCAGATATAAAGGTACAGAACATCTTTTAAAGCTAATGCTGCATCTTCTAGTTCTGTCTATAGTTGCTTCCTTAACTACATTCAGATCTGTGCTTTCTATAAAATGCAAATAAATTCTACAATACTTGGAAAGACTGATCTTATGAGAGTAATTGTGAGACTGGCCTGGTTGTCTACAATTGGTTGGCACTTAGTATTGACACTGATTTCCATATTCCTAGGGTTTACAGGGTAACCAGGATCTTGTGGGAGAACCCAGCACTGCTGACCACTGTAGCCTTTACTCAGGTCTCAGTCTGCTCCCTTTCAGGCCTTCTTTTCTCCTAAAGATCCCAGGGATTTAGCCTGGTTCTTCTCTTCTTTGGAAGATTCCTTCTCTGTAATGAAATGAATGGTACAGACAAAAAGTGTAATTGCCCTCTCTCTCTCTACTTTAATAGCTCCTCTGAGTTTTTTTGTTTGTTTTTTCATTTGTCTGGTTTTTGTTTTGTTTTGAACCATGAATCATTTTTAAAATGATAATATGTTATAGAACTCCAACAGAAATTTGTGGATTATAATGTTACAAGGGGTATAGAAGGCACTGCAAACAAATTGTTTAAGGACATAAGCACAATTTCATTGTTTTAAAATATCATGTAAGTGTATCACAGAACAACCACAAACTCAATAATAAGCAATATTAAAATAAAACAACAAAAGCATTTTCAAATCAGTAAAAGCCAAAGTTCTCGCAAGGATTTATGTGGCCATACATGATGGACTTCCCCATCCTTACCTCTACCCCTGCCACCCTCTGAATCTCCACCTGGAAGGCTCCCCTGCCCCAATATTGACAGGGCAAGCTCCCCCATTTCCTTCAGGACTCAATTGGCCCCTTCTTTATGACAAAGTGAAAAATGGCCGTCTGGCAGTTAAACTATTAAGAGGGAATGGAATAGAGAGCCCAGAAATAAACCCACGCACCTATGGCCAATTAACCTATGACAAAGGAAGTAAAAATATACAATGGAGAAAAGATACTTCAACAAGTGGTGCTGGGAAAACTGGACAGCTATATGCAAAACAATGAGATTAGAACATTTCACACCATATACAAAAATAAACTCAAAATGGATTGAAGACCTAAATGTAAGACCTGAAACCATAAAACTCCTAGAAGAGAACATAGGCAGAATACTCTTTGACATAAATCATAGTAATATATACATATATTTTTAGATCTGTCTCCAAAGGCAAAGGAAACAAAATCAAAAAAAAGGGGAGGGAGAATCTAGTCAAACTTAAAAGCTTTTGCACAGCAAAGAACATCACTGACAAAATAAAAAGACAACCTATGGAATGGGGAAAAATATTTACAAATGATATGACTGGCAAGGTTTTGTTGCCTTTCTCCTGAAAACCTTCCAATGGCTTCTTATCTTGGTCAGAAGAAATAGCAGTCGTTACAATTGGCCCCCAAGGCACCTCTAGGACTTCATGTCCAACCACTCTCCACCACGTGCATTCTGTTCCAGCCACGCTGACCGAATTTCACTTACTAGAACCTACTAAGAATATTCCTGCCTCAGGACCTTTGCATTTGCTATTCTCTCATCTCAGAATACTCCTTCCCCAGTATCCACATGGCTCTGAGTCACCTCCTTTTTGTTTGTGCTCCGGTGTCATTTTATCAGAGAGTCCTTTCCTGATTACCTTGTACATAACATAGCACCCACCTTCATTATCCCTTTAGTTTTTTATTGCTCTTCATAGCACTTTCCATTGCCTCATTTTTAAATTTATTCATGGTGTTTCTTCCCATTAGAATGTAAGCGGGAGAAGAGGGCTCTTGTTTGGCTACTATACCCCTAGTGTCTTAATAATGCTAGGCATCTTAGCAATAAAAATAAAATGTACAGTAAGATTACTTTGCAGCAGGCACACCGCTAAGGGCTTTATACGTAGCATATAATTCCTTTTCATCTGTAGAGCCTATGTTTTCCGTGCTAGGCGCAGAGAGTGGCGGCCCTGCAAGAGCTCCTGGGGCAGAGCCGGGGTCAGCCGCTAGGAGACCGGGCGGGTGCGGCCTGCAGGTGTAGTTGGTAATCGACTCCGCCGGGGAGGAGGCCCCAGGGCGCCACACCTCTTGGTCCATGGCGCATGCTCCGCTTCAGCGGAGGACCCTCTCAGAAGCGGCGGCGGCGCTAGGCCTGGGCGGTGTCTCCGCGGCACTTCCCGGCGGCCGGCTGCTCTGATTGGGGGCGCTGGTAGCCGGAGGCGGGAGCGGGCCCTGGCGTCCAGCCGTCACCGCCCCCTCCAGGTGCTCCAGCCCCGCGAGCTGGCACTGCGGCTGTGGACAGCGACCCGGGAAGGTTGCTCCAGGTGAGTGCCGGCCCCGTTGCGCTGCCAGGTGCGGGTGCCGCAGCTTCGGCTTCCCCCCACGGGCTCTGAGGCCAGGGCCCCGCACCGCTTCCAAGGCTCATTCCAGCCGGCCCTGAGCCTCCGCACGCCGGCAGGACTCTCTGCGCTGGTCTCCGGCGCGTCTTACCTGGAGCACCTGTGGATGCCTCTTCTGCAGGTGGTCGCCCGAGGCATCTCGCGGTGACCCAGGAATTGAGGGCTGTCTTGAATTTGCCTGCCCTTTCCCAGGTGCCCTCGGGTTTCCTGGGCAGGCGCGGTCACCTCTGGGCTGCAGCGACGCCCAGGATTTGTGATTCCCAGCTTCCCTCACCTCCTTCCTCCTTGTCCTTTACTCCTATTAACTCCCCCAGGCAGCCTGCAGACCACTCTAACTTGTTAGTCAAGGTGTGGTCGATAACGGTTTGACATCGGTCCTGGTGAATATCTTGGCGATACTATCTAACTAGTTGGCATTTTGCTTCCAGTACTTAACTTGGGTGAGGCTCAGTTTCCTGGAAAAAGGACTTAACGGTACTGCAGAGAGTTGGCGGAGGCGTAATTAACATAGTAGGTCGGAAGCGCTGCCTGCGGAAGTCTGGAGCATAGCAGGAGATTAAATGGGAGCGGAAATTATTAGTGGTGGTGTTATTATTAGAAAGCTGAATGACAAGCTGCTTTGGAGCTTTTCTTCAGCCACTGAACTCTGGACTGCCCCAATCCCATTTTTCAAAATCTGTCTTGTGCATCTACACTTTGCTAGGTCCTGGGGGTTCAGAGTTGACTCCGATGCTGGCTCTGCCCTTGGGTTGGGGTAAAATGAAGACAGACAAGTACTTAATTGGATTGTTACAGTATAAAAAGGATTGAGATAAAAGTTGCTAAGAGAGCCCAGCAAAGCACATTGCATGCATCCTGGAGGAGGCTTTTTCTCTTTTGAACTTCTCAATCCTCATCCTTATGACAATTACTGGACTAGTAGGTTGAAAAACTAGTGTTTTGTTGGAAGGAAAAATCAGCTGGGTGACATTTCCAGTTGAGTGGCTTCAGCTGTTATCTTCCTGGAGCTTCCATTGTGGACAGCAGGTCCAGGTCCCGGAGGATAGGCCTGAGTGGAAACGCAGGTACTGCCAGAGGCTTCACTGTTTCAAATTGTGGTTACAGACTTTCACTTTTCTTTTCAATATACTCCTTATTCCCGAGTAATAATGGGCTTTTGGAAGGTTATATTTATAATAAAAGGTAGCCCGGAACTGTACAGCCCTTCCCAACCACTGTAGAGAAATACAAACTTATGAGTAAGCACAGTGGGCATGCTTTGCCAGTAGAGACTCAAGATAACATCCCCTCCTGTCTAGAAGTTCCAGGTTCACCACTGCTGGGAGAAATCACTGTAGCACCATCAAGAGATGCACCGACAGAAGGGAGTCAGTTCACTTTTGCAATCTTCTGAGAACCAATTTCTTAAGACTTGTGGAATACTCAGTTTAAGCCCAAGTCTTAAAAACAGCTGTATTGTATTACTGACGTACAATAGCAGGGCATATTTAGAATGTACAATTTTATGTTTTGATATGTATACACATGTGAAACTGTGATACGTTCAATATCATTAACCTGTTCATCACCCCCAAAAGATTTCCCTTTGCAATGCTTAGCTCCTGGCCCTCGTCTCCCCAGGCAGCCATTGATCTGCTTTACATCAATAGAGATAAGGTTGCATTTTCTAGAGTTTTATAGAAATGAAATCGTACATATTTATTTATATGGTCTGGCTTCTTTCACTCACCATAATTGTTTTGAGATTCATCCATGTTATTTTATGTGCATTCCTTTTTATTGCTGAGTAGTAGTATATATCACAATATGTTGACCCATTCACCCATTAGGGGCATTTGGGTTTTTCCAGTGTTTGGCTGTTGCACAAGTCTTTGTATGGGTATACACTCATGCATCTTTTTGAATGATTATATTTATTTTAAAAAATGTGGGAGGCCTGGGCTGTTGTCTCAGCTTTGCCTCTAACCATCTGGGTGTCCTTGGAAGAGTCACTTCATTTTGCCTTTAACATCCATCTTCAAGGTCTTTGCTACACTATGATTTTGTGCCATCACTGCCAGAAACTAGATGGTCTTTGGTGATGGCTGGAGGGTCTCAGAAGCAAAGAGGGGTGGTCTTCTTTCCCTCTATTTCTCTTGCAAGCTCTCTTTTCTTTCATGACACTTTTTCCCTTGGGTGTAATTTTATGCACGAAGGGAAGTGAATAGCTAGTGGGAGCAAGAACTCATATCGCTGAACTTAAAAGTGTTTAAATTACAATTAGGAAAAGGTGGGAGGTTAACAGGCTCTGGAATTTGGGGGATCTTTTTCTCAACCTATTCTCTTCTGAGTCCTTCTTTCTGCTAATTCTCTGGGAACATTATGTTTAACCACCTGGTGAGGAGGTGAGTGGGTGTTCTGGGCTCCAAATGTCACATATTAACTGGAGGTGGCGGGTGGGAGGTTTCCCAGTAAAAAAGAATTCCTCAATTTTTGCTTCGAGGTATGGCTTGAGTCATTTGTTCTCAATTTGCCCTTTACCTAACTTTTACCTGACCTAAACCTGGTTCAGAACTTTGTATGGGAGCATTATTTACCAACATAATTTTGTGTAGTAAAACTTTGTGTAGACAAGTAACAACAGACTGTTTTATACAGAATGAAAATGTGGCTCTGGTGTTTGGTGGTCTGTTTGGTCCTTGGGACCCTGCATTCCGAGGTATCCAGAGGGAAGCTGGCACCTGTGGATCCTGAAACAAATATGAATGTGGTAAGTTTCTCAAAGTCATCTGTTTTTAAAAACGCATCTGTGATCAATGTTAATTATTTTCTGAAATCCAGTTATGTAGCTACACGAAGCCACAAACTCTATTCTCTTTATATCACATTATGTTTTTCCTGTTCTCCGAATCTTAGATTCAGCTAGCTGGACTTTACCTAAAAGGTAATGTGTATCTTACAAACCTCATTTGCTGTTAAAACATATACTTCTTAGTAAGATAAGTGATATTTTTATACATTCATTTCATTTTTAAGTCTCACTGAATTTGTTTAAACAATAAAAAAAAGTGTCAAAACTTTGAAAGAACGTTAATACTCAATGTGCTGAACAAGGACAGATTAGCAATGTCCATAGTTCAATACAAAAATCAAAGTATCTGATAAAAATTTGTTAGAACAAATAAGCAAAAATAGTCCCTCGAGTAATGAAAACATTTCAAAGTTATTCATCTTAAGTAAACAATTAAATCTGGCGATACCTTATTTAGGCATAAAATATCAGGAAAGTACATGTTGCTACAGAAAACAGCAGCTTTAAAACAGATGATGTAGTGACGCAACTGAAGAATCAGGCAACCTTGGAGATGGAGATAAATTTATAGTCAGCCAAGAGAGTATGACCTGATACCTGGGTCTTAAGGTTACATTTTATTTCTTGTCCCAAATCTTTTCTTTTTAAGTTTTTTTAAAATTAAAAGCATTTTTATTTTAAAATTTTTCTCCTGTAAGAATGATAAACTTAAATCCTTTCAAGTGTTTGTGGTAGAGAGAATAATGAGTACTTATTTACACTAAGTCTTCTGGATAATTGAGTTATCCATATGCCACTGAGCTCCCAATTAACAATTGCCCCATGGATTAATTGGTACAAACTGTTATGTATAAAATAGATAAACGAGGATATGTTGTACAACACAGGGAATGTAGCCAATATTTTATAATAACTATAAACGGAATTTAACCTTTAAAAATTGTGAATCACTGTGTTGCACACCTGAAACATATAATATTATACATCAGCTGTAACCTCAGTTTAAAAAAAAAGAAAACAAAAAACAATTAATTGCCCCATGGGTCTTTCCTTATGGAGTAGTGAATTTGATCATAATTCCTTACTTTTCCTCTTTTCCCTCCAGTTTTATTGAGATATAATTGACATATAACATTGTATTAGTTTAAGGTCTACAACATACTGATTTGCACTATGTATATATTGTAAAATGATTACCACAGTCATTTAATTAACTTATTTAACATCTTTATTGGAATATAATTGCTTTACAATGGTGTGTTCGTTTCTGCTTTATAACAAAGTGAATCAGCTATACATATATCCCCATATCTCCTCCCTCTTGCGTCTCCCTCCCACCCTCCCTATCCCACCCCTATTTACAATAGCCAGGACATGGAAGCAACCTAAGCGTCCATCGACAGATGAATGGATAAAGAAGATGTGGCACATATATACAATGGAACATTACTCAGCCATAAAAAGAAACGAAATTGAGCTATTTGTAGTGAGGTGGATGGACCTAGAGTCTGTCATACAGAGTGAAGTAAGTCAGAAAGAGAAAAACAAATAGCGTATGCTATCACAATCATTTTATCTTTTCTTGTTCAACTCTACCTTGACATTCTAGTGTAGTTTTATTGGTCCATTGGTTAAAAACAGATTAATACTTTTTATGCTTCATTTCCCAGGATGGGGTCTCTTAAAACAAGGAAAATGGTAGATTACCGTATTACCTGGCATATTTAGAAAAGAAAGAAAGAAGTGTTTATTTGTACCTGGGAGCCAGGATGGAAACAAAGAAGCCCAAAGCTATGGTAAAATAAAACACACTTAGTGTAGAACATGTTAAAATGGTTTAGCTGAACATCTCTGAGTAGAACACAGAGGTAAAACAAGTGGAGGATTTACTTTTGCGATGGGATGTTGGCTACTAGATTGAGCAGACTGCAATTTCAGTAAGAATTCATTTCTTAAGTAAAACCTGGAGAATGTCATTGACACTTTGTCTTCTCCTTTGCTCCACAGAGTGAAATTATCTCTCACTGGGGATTCCCTAGTGAGGAACACCTAGTTGTGACAGAAGATGGATATATTCTTTGCCTTAACCGAATCCCGCACGGGAGGAAGAACCATTCTGACAGAGGTATGGGTGTTTTCTGTGGTGAGAAAGGAAAGCTCTGAAAATTTAACAGCATTGCTGGAATTTGGTTCTTTTTTTATGTCAGTAACCAAGTTCAGATTTAACTTGAAAACATTGAAATGGGATTATTTTTTAGACCAAAGTACTCAACATGTTACATTTATGCAAGGTGTATAAAAAACACTTCTCCGGGCTTCCCTGGTGGCGCAGTGGTTGAGAATCTGCCTGCCAATGCAGGGGACACGGGTTCGAGCCCTGGTTTGGGAGGATCCCACATGCCGCGGAGCAACTAGCCCCGTGAGCCACAGTTACTGAGCCTGCGCATCTGGAGCCTGTGCTCTGCAACAAGAGAGGCCGCGACAGTGAGAGGCCCGCGCACCGCGTTGAGGAGTGGCCCCCACTTGCCGCAACTAGAGAAAGCCCTCGCACAGAAACGAAGAGCCAACACAGCCATAAATAAATAAATAAAATTTAAAAAAAAAACACTTCTTGTTTTAAAGAAATAAGGACAAGAGTCATCTAATTTCATATTTCGCTTAAAGGTTCAAAGGTCAGGTTTGTTTGAGGATATGCTAAAATCTCTGCTTTCTTTGTTATAAGGAAGCATTTCATTTAATAAAATGGTTTGAGCATTAAGTAGATAGCTCTTGCTGTTTGAAAATTACTTAATTTTTTGAATAGGTAATGTATTCCCATAGTTCAAAAATCAAAGAGAATAAAAAGATACACAGTGAAATACCTCCCTCCCATCTCATTCTCCACCTCCCCAGTTTTTTATGTATCTTTCCAAAATCTCTTTATTTTAAATTTCTTTCTCTCTAAAAAAATCGCTTTAGAAGCAAACATAAGTTATTATTTTTCCTTGCTTCCCTTTTAATATAAAATGTGGCTTATAATGCACATTCTTTTGTTCCTTGAAGTTTTTACTTAATATTTTGGAGATTTTTCCATACAATACAGAGAGCACTTCATCATTTATCTCTGCTGATACATAGTATTCCACTGTATAACTGTACCATGATTTATTTAACAAGTGTCCTATTGATGGGCATTTAGACTCTTTCTAGTCTTCGATTAACAAATATTGCTGCTGTAAGTAACCTTGTATGTGTGCAAGTTTATTTATAAGATACATTTTCAGAAATAGAATTTTTGGGTCAGAGGATATATGGATTTGTGATTTTGATAGATATTGTTAAATTGCTTTTCATGTGGTCTTGTTCTGGTAATTACTCTCATAAGCAATATATGAACGTTCTTATAGTTTTGGCTTAAAATATATACATATTTTTTCTTTTTCTTATAACTCAAGCAAAACTGTGGTTTCCAATGTGGACTGAGGAATTTCTAGATAGATTACTTGAAATTGTTAGATATCAGAATAAGGATCTGATCCTTAGTCAATCATCTCTCCAGATGTAGCTTATTTTTTTTCTTTTAACATTTTCTGATTTTAGAAACTTAGGAAATTAAGGTGAGATTAAGGTAATTGGATAACTATCTCTTCTTCAATTAAAATTTTATGTGAGTAGGAAATTTTTATTCAAAGCAAACTTAAAAGCCCTCTGTGTTAATGTGAGCTTTGTATCATTATCTGTTTTTCTCTTAATATAATCTGATTTATCCATGTTGTTCTGCTATAAATTCTAGCTATAATGAGCCTTTCAGTAATGTTACCTGGTCAAGACAGCCAATGCTGTTTTTGAAGTTTAATTTCTAACTCTTGAGAGTTTTATGATTTACAGATCCTCTTAAAAGCATGCTACAAAATGAGCAGTGAGTTACAGCAAGGGCTTCTATTTTTTCTTCTGCTCAAGACACACAAAACATATTTTATTTCAGAGTGAACATATGATCTTGATTTCCTTCCCTTTTTTTAAAAGAAGTAAACCCTGTATACAGATTTCGGATCCCATGTAAAGAAAAATAGGTATTGATATTATTTCTCTTAAAAGTGGTTAGTTGACTAATAATTAGTAGTGTGAGCCATTGTTAAAAAATGCAGGGAACCACAGTAAAAACATGCTTAGAGAATGTGCCTCCTCTTCTTTTTCTATATCCACCTCTAGGCTTCTCTTTCCTACAGCAATTAAAGCATATAGTGCCAGATGCCCTATGGTATGTATCTCAGCCACTGCAGGTGAAGGTGCTATGCCCGGGGAAGTGAGCATCCTTTTTTTTTTTTTGCGGTACGCAGGCCTCTCACTGTTGTGGCCTGTCCCGTTGCGGAGCACAGGCTCCGGACGCACAGGCTCAGTGGCCACGGCTCACGGGCCCAGCCGCTCCACGGCATGTGGGATCTTCCCGGACCGGGGCACGAACCCGTGTCCCCTGCATCGGCAGGCGGACTCTCAACCACTGCGCCACCAGGGAAGCCCGAGCATCCTTTTGATTTGCTCTAAGGTGGTAGGAAGAAGAATCAGGAGAATTCCGCCTGCCCCTAAATACTTCCGTGCTTTCTTCTCTGTAGGCCTTGGATTCTTCATCTGTAAAAACAGTCGATTGGCTGGGATGATCTCAAAGTTCCCCATTAGCCTTTATCACTCTCTGGTTCTATGGGTTATATTCTGTATTCATTCATTTATTGGCAGGGGTGTGTGGATTGGGGCAGTGGATACCCTTGGTTTTCAGAATGGGGAACAGACTGAATGCACTCTAAACTAAGTCTGGTGATAGCATTAAGTCCCCACCCTTTTCCTCTGTTCTGCCCAGGCCTCCCTGTAGAGGATCAGTGGTATGTATATAACACCTGCTGTGAGCTAAGCTCAGAGGTGAGTTTTGGAGGAAATCTGTGACAAGTGACTTAGTTATCTAAAGGAATTTGTGATTCTCCTGAAAACTGCATAGGTGTTTCTCTGATGGTTTGCATTTCCATGGTCCAAGGCAGAGCACGGACCTGAGGCTCTGCACTGTCCTTCACTCCCATTCAGGAGCAGTGTTGTCAGTGGTACTAATTTGGCTTATTTAAGCCAGATAGACAAAAAGAATACACACAATCCTTCACACCCAACATGGAACCCAGCTCATCCATGCCCCTTCCTCTCCTGACTTCCCCCTCTATTAATCACACCCTTGTCCTCCTGGACCTAGACCCGAAACTGCATAGTCACTCTTGACTCCCATCCTGGAGGAGCTGTCAGGTCCTCTCTAGGCTCCCCTGTTATATGGCTTCAGTTCAGCCCTTTCTTCTCTTTGCCAGGCCACCATCGTAACTTATGCTCTTGTGACCATTTACTTGGCCATCTGAAATAAGCTTAGAACCTGAGAGAGAGAGAGAATTTCAAAACAGGAATAGGGAAATTCAGTCTGCTTATCTTTTAAGAAATTAATGCTTTTAAGAAAATAATGCCATACATCTGTACCATTTATAAGTCATTACAAGATACATTAAAACATTATTCATTTATCAAGGATGAAGTGAAGCTATTCCTCTTACCCTTCTTAATGTAGTTTTTCTCAGTTTTTGTGTTCTTCTGTGATGCTGTAACCTTACCCCTGGGTTCAGGGGTGCTAACAAAGGCATTCTTGTCTGTGGATAGTTGCTAAGTTGGAGTTTCTGTGAGGGGGCTAGAGCTGGGGATCTCCTATTCCGCCATCTTGCCGATGTCACCTCCGTTATTTATTTATAGGTACCACATTCCTTGTGGAACCTTAGTTTAAAGCTGTGTGGTGAGGGTTTCCCTGGTGGCGCAGTGGTTGAGAGTCCGCCTGCCGATGCAGGGGACACAGGTTCGTGCCCCGGTCTGGGAAGATCCCACATTGCTGCCGAGCGGCTGGGCCCGTGAGCCATGGCCACTGAGCCTGCGCGTCCGGAGCCTGTGCTCTGCACCGGGAGAGGCCACAGCTGTGAGAGGCCCGCGTACCGCAGGAAAAAAGAAAAAAAAAAGCTGTGTGGTGAGCATCTTTCAGTCCTGTCTCAGTGACCCCCTCTGATTGTATGTAGAGCCTCACTTGGGGATCACTGGAAGTTTTTTATGATCACAGGACTTGGCCACATGGCTCCTCTACCCATGCCAACTGCTCTCCTTTCTGCCAACCTCCCTGTTCTCATCCGTCTTATGTAGTTTTGCAGGATTAAGCTTCGTAGAGCCCAGGTATAATTATATGATATTGCCACTCAGCAATCTTCATGAGCCTCATAAATGAAGATAACACCATTCCTTAATATTTTGTCCTAGCTGTTGTCTTTACTGTTCACCTTCATTTTATACAACAGTGGACCTTTGAAGTTCACCATGGATATGTGCAAGAACTTCATGATTCCTCAAACTGGTGATTACAGTTATGGGGTATGATGTCTACGGTGACTTCCTCTGTAGAATGGGATAGAATACCTCTTTCACAAGGTTTATGAGGAGTGCTTGAGAACCACTGGTTGCCAGCTGTGTTTACCCATCATCTAAGAAACATTTATCATTTATCAACTGCACAGGTTTAAATTGGCACCATAGCCAAATTGCAAATGGTATAACTGAAGTTGTATCTGTGATAAGTATCAAAGAACTGCTCTCTCACATGTTGAAATCCAAATGAGTTATTTCCCTTTTGCTAAATTCTCCCTGGGCCTCAGCTGGTGACACAACCCTCTGGATTGGTGTTCACTCTGCCCACCATCTTTATTTCTATGCATTCCTAAAAACATTTTTTTTTTCCTGTCCTTCCAGCCCCACCCAGCTTAACTGCCAACTCTCCATGCTGCTTGAGCATGAAGGAGACACACTTCCTCCAGACTCCCAGATGCCTTGCTAACACCCCTCCTGAGGTGTTTTTCTTCCTCTGCTTCAGGGTTAACTCACGTGTGTACTTCTCTCTCCCCGCCATCCCTCCCTGCAACCACTCTTTGAAGGCAGAGGCTGTGTCTTTGTCACCTCTGTGTTCCTCACAGCAACCAGCAGCACCAGGTTGCCCGCGTGGGTGGCGTAATTAAGAGATATATCGGGCAGTCTTCAGAATTGGGATTCTGAAGTGCATGAAGGCAATGGATCCTCTCTCTAGTAAAATAA